GCCTGAGCTTCAAATAGCCAGGTAGAATATTGAAATCCAGAGAAGCCTCCGTAAGTTCTCCGTAAATGACGTCTTTGACAATATCAGTCCTACAGTCTATTAGAAGACTATGCAACGATAATGAACAGATTTCAGGTTTTAAGTCGTTGATTGTAGATTCTGACCCCGTCAATCCTACTGTATATAGTCAGCTACCAGAGTAATTCAGTCAAGCAGAGCATCTTTTCTCTCATGCTGAATACAATGTCCACGTCATTCAGGGCACTGAATATCACCGCTCCGTGAATGATAGATGGGGAGTAAAACGTCAGAAAACGGAGCTATGCTGGTCCGTTTTCAGATGCATCACCGCAATAAGCTCATGTATGCCTGTCTTGAAGGCACATCGATTTTTGAAGCAGAAAAGATATGAACAAGAAAATTCTGTAGACCTAATAAACGCTTCCGCGCTGAACAGACTCCTTGATTTTAGTATCGAATTTTCGAAGGCAGTTGGTCGGAAACGGGAACTGAGCCCATAGGTTTATAAACGGACGGGATCGTAGTGGCAACTGGGGTTGAAGTCGCCAAATCTAAAGGAGTAGTCGTATGTAAATGCCACTTCTCGATTAAACAGGTGGATAGAACACTACTCAGAATTATAAGCCACTGGTCGTGAAGCGTGGTCCAGTTTGAGAGCGCATGCAGTGAAGAACACTGCGCACAGCAGGTGCATTTTGAGCGGCACCAAACTTCGTTTTTCAAAGTCTATCGAGGTTGCTCAATGGTAAGGGCGCGAATTTACTGACCGGAAGGTCCGTAGTTCGAACCCGACCTCCGCCTCTCAATTTCCCCTCTGGGCTTGGAAAACCTGGCAGTATCCCAGCCCTGGTGCTTCATTTTGGTGGCATGGCCGTTAGGCACCGAAAAGATGCCACAGCTGAACGATTGTTATTAATATTTTAGCGTATCAATAACGCACCGGCCGTCTGATGCAATCGTTTTTGATCATAGTGTGAGGCCCAGTCTTTATTAACCCGTCACCTCGATGCTTCCACAAATGTAGAAATCCAGAATCGCTGTTTTCGCTATTGAGTGGCACCGTACTTCATTACACGAGAAAAAGCGATAACACCACAAACGAACTCACGTGGGGGAAAAATTACTGAACTGCGGGTGACGATTAGAGTTTTCTTCGAAAAAAAAAATTAGTTGATCCAGTCGGTACCCTAATCTCCACTGTGGACCTCCCCTCAGTGGGTCACTCGATCCCTATTAGAGCGGACCGCTGTGGTGACTCGGGTGTTTTCCCCTGCCAATAAACTTAGATACCTAGGTGACTAGGTTCTACACATACTATCTACTTTGTTTTACAACTGACGTCGTAGGTCTTTCCGATGAAAACAAATGAATACAGTTTTTTGCCTAAACTATTGAAAAAGAGTGAACTACAGCATCAGTTGACAGCTCGATTTATTTTTGCGTTGAACGAAACGGACGAATCCAACACTCGCTATTCCTACTCAAAGTATCCAAGCCTTGTCTAACATGGTGTACAATTTCCGTGATTTGAAGAAACTATGTTGCTTCCATAAAGCAAACTACTCACAAGGTTGCTGAAAACTCTTCGACAACCCACGACCGGTTTCGCCCTTCTTGAGGCTCATCAGGTAGGCGCAGTCCCCGAGTTTCCGTCAAACTTATGTTCTACTTGAAACCAAATTTGACTGTTTTCGAGAAATACACTCATTTGCAAATCAATTTGGTTTCACGAGACTCCAACTGAATCTCTCGTTTATGATATTCTACAACTGAAAGTGCTTCACACAGGCCGCCTCATATTTCAGTTGGCTCGATATTCGAGATATCGCGGTATATTTTCATAGAGGAAACTACTCACAAGGTTGCTGAAATCTCGTCGACAACCCACGACCGGTTTCGCCCTTCTTGAGGCTCATCAGGTAGGCGCAGTCCCCGAGTTTCCGTCAACCTTATGATCTACTTCCACCTATACTGTCTCCCAAATTCTATCTGCCTATGCATATTCACCCAATCCGTTTTGCAAATTTCTTCCACATTTCTCCCCATTGCGTTTCATTTAGTTGCCTGCCAGTCCGTTTCTGGTTAGCTTTTCCGGGATTGAAGCCACCATGATGTATGTATTAGAATACTTGTTGTACCACCTCCGACCGGCCGGGATTAGTCACAACTGGCTCAATCATGCAGCTGCGAAGAAACCGTGAAGAATTGTAACTTTGCACTCCCGTTCTACTGTGATCGCCCAAACAGACTCTCTGTAAACGGCTGCCTTAGACATCGCAACAATGCGCGAACTCCCTACCAAATGAATATTTTTCATTTCCGCCTATTATGGGGTGAGGATTTCTTACCGTCCCACTTTACCCCTTCCCCGACGAACTTCCTATTTGTGTTTTTTTAATTTTAAGATTCTGTGTTTATGCCATGGAGAGTATCCTTGATATCATTTCCCTCTTTTACATACATGCGGGCATGTCTGGTGCTCAATCTCCGTTTTGTGATTCGAGTTTTTCGTTAGTTACTACCCTCGTGATTATATGCCGACCGTTTCCACTCAAAAACGTGCGCAGATTCACCTATCCTGTTTTAAAGTTTGATTCGTTTGTGTTAAGCACTACAGTATTTCTACATATGTGTTCTATCGAGAGTGCGTGAAAAGCTGTCGATCAAGTGCACACTCGATGCTGGACCTGTTTTCTTTCTTATAAGCTTTCATGAAAAACACTGGTAATGCATCAACACCTTTGGTGATATTCGATAGGCTGTTATCTTTGGCCAATTCGACCATCAGAGGGCAGCTTTTTCCCAGAATAAGCAGCGCTGTTCATACTACTAAGGACTGTGTGAGATTATTTGTAGATAACCAGATTTTCATTATTTATATTTCAGTAGACAAGCTATTCGTCTATGCCAGTGTGAAAATATGTTCCTCTTAGATTCCGGCTTTGATGCTAACGCTTTCTAAAATTGCCACAAGCCCCTCTTATAACCAGTCCATGCTGGTTGGCAGAGTCTGCTTCCACTATTCCGGTATATACGTTATAATCCACGACCTTTTCGGATCCTGTCATCGATCATCTGACCCTCACATTCCATTGTGAAATGCCGTCGCCAGAGTTCGGTTAGGGAGTAACGGGTGTACAACACATCAAGACCAGTGTCGGCGACCAATTGCAAGGCGCCCTTGGGGACTAGAACCAAGGCCATCCAAAAGCGCATCTACGACATTACTAACTGGACTCTTATTAGAGACATGTAATAGTATATAGAACAGTAATTTGCGACACAACGCCGAGCGCATGCATAAATTTACCATTATTTATGTCACCAATGTACATGCGCCGCCGTAAAGACTAAGATAAGTTTCCTTTAAAGAACACTACGCATATTGTTGCTGGACTCTACGACAGCCCACCTTGTGAATAGCGGCCCTTCAAGAAAATGTACTACATCTCGAATATCGTGCCAAGTGATAAATGAAGCTACTTATCAGATAGTTGAGATTTTTGAAGGCAGTCACTGAATGCCCGAAATCCACTGAGACTCTCAGCTCCGCTAGATGTTGATCAGACAGACAACGCCCCCGCAATATGCAGCACGTCACAGTCTCGTACCAAAGCCAGGCCGCGTCCGTCAGCAGTCAGATACAACAGACTGGCGACCCCCGAACCCAGTGAATCATGATAATAACTGCTGAAGTGTTGAAAGAAATTCTGCTGCAACAACAAAATCAGTTTGAAGCGGTGCAATTACGTTTGGTGGAAACATTGAGGCAGCAACTGAAAATTCAACCACCAAATTCCGCTGCAGATACAAATTTAGTCGACTCGATCGCCAGCAGCATCACGGAGTTCCATTATGGCCCCGATGCCAGCCTAAACTTTGATTCGTGGTTCAGGCGTTACGAATGTTTTCCAAGTAGAACTGAAGCACAAAGATGATATCTGGAGAGTATACTTATTGTTCAGAATGCTAAGTACAACGCAATACAGACGGAATTCCAACTTTATCCTGCCTAAGAACACGCGAGATCTCAGTTTTGACAAAACCGTGCGGCAACTTTCACTGATTTTCGGTGAGCGTTCGTCCTTGTTCAATATTCGCTACCAATGTATGAAACTGGCGAAAAAGGAATCCGAGGACTATATTACTTATGCCGGTGGAGTCGAATGCGAACAATTCAAGTTATCTTCCATGACGGAAGACCAGTTCAAGTGTCTTATTTTCATCTGTCGTCTTCAGTTGCATTCAGACACTTGATACCAGGACGAGATTATTGAACAAGATTGAACAAATTCCCGAGATAACTCTGTAGTTCATTACCCATGAGTGCCAGTGCCTTTTAAATCTTGAACACGACACTGCCATGTTGGAGAGACCTTTGTCCAACCCTGCTTTCAATATTGCCAAGATGACATCGAGGCAACCTCCCGTGGTGACAAATTCGAACGGGGCAAAGCCCCTTTGGCATGCTGGCAGTGCGGCAAATGACATTTTGTGCGATTGTGTCCGTATAACAAGCACAAATGTTCAGTGTGCAATCGATGTGGGCACAAGGAAAGCCAGTGCCGGACGCGGAAAGCTAGCCAAAGACGCAGTCAAACCCGGAGGTTACGAAGCAAACCGGGCCAATCAGAACCTCGTTTTAACGCAACACTTGCAACATTTGATAACCAGATCGATGTCGTCGCAAATACGTTACAATTAGAGCAAAGGGAAGCACAATTCGATTGCAGCTGGACACGGCTTCCGATATTACGGTTGTTTCTCGGCGCACCTGAAGAAAGATCGGATCACCGGTACTCAGACCGACAATGAACACTGCTAGAAATGCTTCAGGTGGTAAGCTTCAACTACTTGGTGAATTCGATTATGAGAGCCCAATCGTTTGGGCATAGACTGGGTCGATCGCTCGCATCTTTCAACGTTGTCAATTGACAACTTGCGCATATCAAAACCAACCCAAATATTGAGTGTCCAAGGCGAGTAACCCAGTCGATGCCGCGATCCTACGACTACAACATAAATATGAAGACGTTTTCAGCGAAGGTCTTGGATGTTGTTCGAAAACAAAGGCAGCGCTTCATCTGCGCCCGGACGTCCAGCCAGTTTTCAGACCCAAAAGGTCAGCACCATACGCGGCTTTACCAATCCTTGATACCGAACTCCAACGCCTTGAAGGTGCCGGAGTCCTGAAACTGGTGAATTACTCCTCATGGGCTGCACCACAGCCAAAGGGTGCCGCACGTATCTGTGCCGATCACTCTACAGGTTTGAATGATGCCTTGGACAGTCATCACTATCCATTGCCGCTATCTGCTGATATTTTTGCCAAGATGAACGGCGGCGCGTATTTCGCAAAACGAGATCTTTCAGAAGCCTACCTGCAAGTTAATGTCGCAGAGGAATCCAGACACATTCCGACGATCAATACGCACCGTGGCCTATTCCAGTACACTCGATTGCCATTCGGAGTAAAAACTGTACCAGCCATCTTCCAGCAGATTATGGACACGATGCTATGTGATCCGACCGGAGTTGCCGCATACCTTGACGACACCGTCGTCGTTGGGGCCACATAAGAAGACCTGTCCCCATTGGACGCTGTCCTTCAACGGAAAATGACTACGGGTTCCTGCTAAAGAAAGAAGAGTGTCAGTTCCCCTTAAATTCCGTTATACACTTTGACTTTATTACCGATAAAAATGGCCGTCGACCTGACCCGTTTAAAATCGACCCAATTGTGAGAATGCCTCCACCATCGAATGTTGCTGAACTCAAGTCTTTTTGGGGTTGATTAACTACCACAACGCCTTCCTGCCAATTATGCATCGCTTGCACGAACCTTTCAACCAGCTTTTGACCAAATGATATCAATGGGATTGGTCACGCGACTGTCAGCCTGCATTCGAAGAAGTGAAGAGGCTGTTGCAGTCTGAGCTTCTGGAGCACTAGAGCGGGTCAGCAGCAGATACAACATTACTTTTGTGTAGCAAATTTGTCCGGAGAAGAGTATCACACTTGAGAAATTCAGCTGACATTCAGTTCAATCTACCCCTTTAAAACCAAATTAGTATGCACACGAGTGTATTTGGCGACAATAGTTTTTGTTTCTAAGGGCTAGTGCATTCTTGATCGGCCAGATCTTTATTTATGTATGGGTGAGGAGGTTAGTCACCGCGTATGGAGGCAGTGCAACGGAAGTCCGCATTTTCTTGGCATTGTTTGCGAATCATTCTGGCCTTTGGTTACAATACAGAAGTACGTTACCACGTAATAGCAGGAGGTCCGAATTGTGTCGCGTAACAGCTCACAAACAGTGGCTGGCTTGGTCGCCTATTATGAATGCAACCTCATCGACTACTTAGGTGTCCTCACCTAATTCAGCTTGAAAGAAATACCCTGATAATCAACCGACAACGTGGAGAGGCTAACACCAGGAATATGACAGTTTGTCGGCTTGGTCGGAGTGACTTCCTGGCGAATGCCTTTTGTTCGAGGCTTGGTGTACATGATGGCACAGGACACATCCGCTACAACGTTTGTTTCTCTCGCTGTTTTTTCTTCATATATATATATATATATATATATATATGCTGTCCNTAATTGGTCAGCAGGAAAAGGTCTCATATGCTCTTGGCTTGCCTTAAAACTCGGCCGACCTTTTAACCTAGTCACTTGGTCTAATGAAACTTTTTTGTAAAAAGCGAAGATTCGCCCAGCAATAGGTGTATCGATTGTTTTTAAGATATTTCTGAAACGAATTCTCGAACAGTTTCAACCTTTCTTCAGTTGATAGAATACACCTACGGGCCCTCTGTTCAGAAAGTATCAAGTGGAGCTGGAGTTAGAAGCAGGCTGGGAAAACCACCGTATTCAATATAAGGTGATTGAAGTGCAGTGTTATTGTTACATTCCTAATTGCTTAGCCACCGGACACGTCTAGCTTTTGCGGCCAAGAAATTCCCCGAACAGAGAAATTACTTAACTGGTATGCACTTAACTGATATCTGCCGCCACGTACGCTTACCAAGCCGTGATCTAACCCACAGATTCCCAAATGTTCGTCAAAAGTGTCGGAGTTGAAACCTTTCCAAGGTCAACGATATCAAATTGAACGAATACATAAGTTCGAGCAGTTACTGTACACAACTCAGTGCTCTACTAGAACCATCCAAAGAAGGATACCATCTATCGGGTACAATAGCATATCTAATTTCACAGCTGGACCATTGAATGAAGATACGTATCCTCTAGAAAAGGAACTGAACTTAACAGAGGACGGAGAAAATAATCTCTAGCCTTGGGATGAAGTGTGAGGGCACTTGGTCACATTCATAGGGTCCCAACAACTAGAAGCTCCAAATATCGCACAATCAGAGCCAAATACCATAACCACGCAAACAGGCAAGTAACATGTTGAGTATGAACGAGAGTAAGGCCAAGATAGTCACTAATAAGACCGGCCGCACTCAACCGATGGACCATATCGACAGATTAACAGTAAAATTATTAAGTCGATAATGAATAACAGTAAGGTTGGGTTTGTTGGGTTCTTAAGGTCCGTAATGAGCCGTTTGATGCAAGGTAAATGGTATTGGTCGTGTCGTTAAAGTACAATTCAGCACGGCTTTACAGGCTGTCAAAATCCACAAGACAGATGTCCCAATAAGACCAAAACTGAACTGTGTAGGTTCACCTCCATGTGAGCCAGCTAGATTCCCGAGAGAATTCCGAGATCACTTACGGAGGAAGCGATCACACACACCAGGAATTCGTACCACTTTGCGAGTAAAGTCGCAAGGATTCCTCCTCAAATAATGAAAGTGCTGATGAAAACTGATTTTGAACGTTGTATATACGGTCATCTCTAAGACGATTTGGGAGTAGCCGGAGGGCTGGTACTCTCGAATACAGCACTACAAGAATAGACTGAGCTTCGAATTGATGGGATAGTTGAAGAAATAAATGTATAATCAAGTATTGATCATTATGTCTCTGACTAATATGTGGATTGCCAAGAACAAGGTATGGTTGTGACGTCCAGAATATCTCCATTTTCGAAAACACTTGTATCGAAAGTTTCAGAAAGAAAGCCTTGGTCCAGAGTTTTTTGGCTTCATGTGGGTGATACTTTTGTGGTGGTCAAAAGTGATGCGGTTGGTGGCTTCTAATAATATCTCAGTTTAGCATGGAAGCTGAGTCCTCTGTGCACATTATTCTTCCTGGACTCTGACCCGTAGGAGTGCTGAGAAACTAAAACTACCATTTGCGAGAAACCAACAGACGTACCTTTCTAAACCGCCCATTCGCGCATCCTAAAGAGATAAATCATCATAAATCAATCTTTAGTCGAGTCAGGGCGCTGTATACAGGAAAGACTTTAAGGTAGTGGATGCCCAGTGAGTTTGATTTCGCAGGGTATTGGCTCCAGTACCAAGACAAATCGTTTTCATTCTACATAAAACAGGAACATCTGAAATTATTTGAAGTGCTCTAGACATAAGCAACGTTACAATAGCGTTCCAGAAGGCATAAATCTAACACTCACTTTCGATGCAACTGAAGTGGCGCTTTGCAGTTGAAAAGACTTGAAACTTCACGAAGGTCTGCAAAGAACCGACCACATACCAGGATTGACTAGCAAGTAACCAAGATGCAGTTGAGTACCAGTCGCTGGTCAAGTACTCGGTCATGGTGGCACACACGGTGAATACAGGATGCAGAATAGATTTTAAAAATGTACAGTTTTCGGGGCGAGGACTACGATTCATACCATAGCCACTGACGACAGAAGTCGTGGAGATGGCCAAGGGTGCCACCATGAACAGAGTGGTGTAGAGGTGACAAGCACGTGGAAGGCAGTCTTGGACCACCCGATCTGATGAGTGACGATGTGCAATTGTCAGTCAAAATGAGTGGTTAACAGTAGTGATTTAAATCTGACTTTGAAAGCGCAACCTTAACATCTCAGTTAGACTCTCTTCGCTAGCCCACTTGTCGTAGCACCAACTCACCCACACAGACCACCAAAAATTGTGAACAGCATTTGTGGGACATCTTCCGCTCCCATGGTATGAACCAGGACTCCAAACCTAGTCCGAATTCGAGTAAGATGTTCATTCTCCTTGTAGTCTTTTTTTTTCACCCGCACTGACAACAAAAACCTTATGTCGACAGTTAACTCTGACTATCCATAACATATCATGCTCCTTAGTTTTCCGTCTGTCATATCGAATTTGCTGACAAGCCATTTGGACTGACGAATATTTGTGTCAGAGGCGAAAAGTTGTCGGGCAATAAATCGCCCGCCTTTTTCGAAAACCTTTCTGATATGAACAGTCATGTTCATTCCTGAGTAGCGATAACCTGCGCTCTGTGCAGCACGACAATCTAGGCTGGTGATCAGCAGTCAAATCAGAAGACATGCTACTACTCTACTGCTCAACCAAATTCGGTCCAGTCTGAATTTCAAAGAAGCAGTTCAAGCTCAGTCCACTATTTACTTTATTCCCTAAGCAACATTAGATCGGTTTTTACCAACAACTATGAAACTGCGAACTTTTTCCCGCAGTTGAGTCGACTCCAATCAAACCAGTATTCGGAATTCATATGTGATGTTCCCAAATCAACTTCGTAAATCCTCCTTAGATAATCACCGAAACAACGCTGGCTAGAAAGCAGACTTAGTTTACACTAGTTATAGTCTCCAAATCAACTCGTTGAATGAACATCTAATGAATCCAGTATGTTTTCCTGTATTCTGAAGGGAGCGATGGATGGAACGCAATGGTTGCCTGCATAAATTCGACCGAATTAATTAGCAATAAAAGAAACGAGTCGGCAGCTAAACTGAGAATAAGACAGTGGTTTCCGAACTTCGATCGGGCAGTGGGACGCTATCCCTTTCTAACAAAATAGTAAACGAACCTGACATGTCTCAAACTTAACACTGTAGCAGATTGGGTCCCGTTTTCCCCTTTGGAATGTCCTCACTTGTTAACCGCCCTGTGATTTTGTGTAAGAACTGTCCTCAAAAGTAGTAGGAAGTACGAAATCCAAACCTACGACAATGTCGATTAGTTTTCAGTATCCCCGCTCATTGTTCAACAGCGGTAGTACCATACAGCATGTGACTTTTTATCCAAAACTAGTTCCGAAGTCGACAACTCTGTGCACACACACACGCAATCACGTTTTCACTGAGTTTGGCAGAATTAAACCTCGACAAACAATAGGGAGATACTAAGTTGATGCACCATGGCAACATGCATACTTGAATGCATATTAATGTCTAAGCACTGGTTCCGTATGTGATGTTTTGGATTGGGAATGAAATGTTTTGCATCAGCGCAAAACACTACATTTGACATTCTCCACTGTGGGAGATTCATTCTAGTCTGTTTCGCTATTCTGGCCGCAATTCGACTGACAAACTGATGGAGATATCTGACGATTTTTTTGAAAGGTGTTGAGCTAAAAAAGTTAGAGAGCTTTCCGGGCCTGACCTATAGCTGCCCCCATAACGTGGTGGTTGGGCTTGAGTGCTGCAGTGATCCCGCGGTCTACAATGGTTGGAACT